GGGAGTTCGGCGGGGGGGGTGAGCCAGCCAAACCGGGGGGGGGCCGGAGGGTGAAAGACCAAAAGAGCCAACCCCCCAGCCGGGGGGCGGGAGAGAAAAGAATTTGTTAAAGGGAAAACCAAAAAGAGGGGGGGGGGAGGCTTTGGGCCCCCCCACTGGATCCGGGACATATGGCAAAAGCGAAAATGGGGGGGGGGTTTTTTGGGGCCCAGGGCGCCCGTGATCCTCAAAAACCTCTCGCCTTTTTTTAAAAAACCCCAAGCCCTGAAACCAGAATTTTTTGGGTTCCCCCCCCCCCCCTTTTGGCAGAACCGTGGCCAATAGCAGATGCTCCCGGATTTGGTGTATTTAAATTCCAATAGAACCGGGCCATTACCAACCGGGTTTGCCCCGGGGGGGGGGGGGTGCCAGGCCTACAAGGCAGAAAGCTCTCCAACCTAACAGCGACCGGGTCTTACCTCTCCTTTCCTCCGTCTCTCTCGTACTCCCCCCAACCCCCCTCTCCCAACAACTCCCTTTCAAGACCTCCTCGCTCTCTTGCTTGACGTTCCCCGCGGCGGGTATGACCCCTCTCTCCCTCCCTCCCTCCCTCCCTCCCTCCCTCCCTCCCTCCCTCACCTGAATGCAGCCCAGCGCGAACATCATGCCCCTCGCAGAGTTGCACAGGTCTGCCCCTAGAGAGAGGTTCCTCACGACGCCGAACCCAGACGTTACCTACAGCACGGGTTCGAGAGTCACATGTTGTTGGCTGGTCGTTGCTGTTGTTGCTGTTGCTGTTATGGTTTTCGTTGGTGTTGTTACTATTGTTGTTGTTGCTGCTGCTGCACTAGCTTACACCACAAATAATGTTCCTATTGTTGTTGTTGTTGCTGCTGCACTATCTTACACCACAAATAATGTTCCTATTGTTGTTGTTGCTGTTGCTGATGTCGTGTAGTAGCGGTCGTTGCGCCGATCTTGCACTTAAGATGTCGTCTAGAGGTCCCCTCTTCTCCCGTACCGGGTACAGTGCAAACAAACGTCCACGATGAAAAAAAACAAACAGCAGTTCCAGATTTTTTCGCTGGCTTCCATCGACCCTGCGGCTGCAAAACTGTAGTGCCGTGATACCATGACAAGCAGAAGCGGGGAAAGAAACCCCCAAAAATCCAGATTCCTAAAAACGTTCTGCACCACCCACCCACCTTCCCGCTGCAGATAACCTTGACGTCATCCCTCAGCCCGGCCCCTCTCAGCAGGTCGTCCACCAGCACCAGCCCTTCCACCAGAGGGGTCCCCACGGAGTTGGAAAACTCGGGGGGTGCGGCACCCGTCCCCCCCTCGGAGCCCTGAACGCGGCAGAGGTTGGTTCATTCAAGGTCAAGGGGGGTGGTGATCATTACGTTTACATAGAAGACGCTTGCATACCCGAAGGAGAAACGGTGGCGATCGACACCGCTACACAAATTGTACAAAAGAGTCCTACGACGGTGTATAGGCGTCGCTCCGAGCGGGGGCGCATGTCTGCCGTCCCCCTCTCCTTCCCCCCCTTTTTGGGGAATTATTAGAAAAAATTGCTTTCCGAGAGATCGGAACCACCGAACAAGGAAAATACGACGACGACGAAGACGACGACGAGATGGCGACTTTGGGTTCGAAAAACTTGAGATGGCGACTTTGGGTTCGAAAAACTTGAGATGGCAACTTTGGGTTCGAAAAACTTGAGATGGCAACTTTGGGTTCGAAAAACTTGAGATGGCAACTTTGGGTTCGAAAAACTTGACATGGCGACTTTGGGTTCGAAAAACTTGAGATGGCAACTTTGGGTTCGAAAAACTTGACATGGAGACGGCTGCTGTAGGTGGCAGCTTGAAGTGCTGTGCTGCTGCTGCTGCTGTGCTGCAAAAACAAACGATGCTACCTTCACCCCCCCCACGCACGTTAACCTCTCCAAGAGCACTCTCCCAACGGCCTCGCTTGTAGTAGCACCCGCAAACGCTGCCTTAAGCCCCCGCTGCTCGTACACGACTATTTTAGGCTTGGAGACAACACACACACCCTTGGAGTCACGCACAAGACACAAGGGTTAGAAGACTCACGTCGACCGTGAAGAAGTCAGGCCCGTGGCCC